GCAACAGACTAATGAGGCCTGAAAAAACGTTTGCATTACTGTGAGCATTTATAATACAGCACATTAGGCACAGAGTAGCTTCCTGCCCAGCTTGATGCTGTATCATGCCCGTTTCTCATTACACTGGTGCTAGAACACACACTTAAGCCAGCCAGTGACTTTAGAATTAGAAACCTGATCCCATCAATGGAAGAAATGCACCTCTGCCTCTACTCGGAAAGTCTTCTCTAAAAGTCATGATTGATTTATAAAAAGAACGAAAATTGCTGCAGCACAAATTACGGTCTGGACAGAGACACATATTTTGTGCTGTCTACACTGAAAACTACGAAGAAAATCGTTAGCCAGACTGTAATGTACACTACATTGGGTTCGGTAAGATGTGTTTGGATGAAGTATATTATGCAGTAATATTGTGAAATATCTGAAAAAAAAAATTTTATATAACTGTTTTTTTATCTTAATTCATTTTAAATTGTAATGTATTGGCAAAACAAATGGGTTTGGTTTAACTTGTTAATTGTCACACAAATAGAAAAAGGGTATAAGGAAGTGGCCAAAACCACTATTATCCATGTCCCATCATGCCTTGCAATCAGGTATCAACCTTTAGGACTACTGCTGGACCATGAGGATTGCTGTAAATTCCTCTTCTCTCTCACCCAAATACACATATTCAGAGTCTTTGTCTAACAGAGTTACAGAGAGGTGCAGATTGGAATCTGGCCCAGTTTTGTAAGTGATGGGATGGAGGTCATTCTGAGGCACTCTGGGTAATAAGCACGCAGAAAGTGATCAAACAACCAACAGGGATCAATAAAGAGTAATGGCATGCGATTGTGCTGAGTTGAGAGATTAAACAAAGAGAGAAAAAAGCAATAAAGCGAAGCCCAGAAGCCAAAAGAACGTGAAGGATGATTTCATATCAGTACCTGCTTTTATTGTCTAAGAGCATTTCAATGACCCTGTGACCTTATATGCATGTCAATATACAATTACAGTGCCAGGTAACGAAAAGCCCCACACTTGCTTTCCTACTGCCTGAAGCACAAGTCTTTGACCCCCTAATCCTTAACGCTATAATGATGTCAGAGGTTCAGGAACGACACTCACTCAGACATCCAAACTCCAGGTCACTCTCCCAGGAGCTTTGAAACAGGATTTGAGTCCAAAAGGCACCATTCATTCCTTCAGAGAAGTGTTAAAAGGAGACAGACTTAATGGATTCCTGTAGAGAACTCTTTCATTTAATTTCACAGGGCCTTTTAGTTCAAGCTACAGTGATCAATAGAAACAAGGGTCTTCATTCAGATGAGACACTAGCTGAGCTGACACCAACACCTTTGTTTCGAGCCCAATTTAAACAGATTAGACCAACACACTGGATTTGGCATCTCACAGAGGAATTCCCTCTTTTGTAAGAGTTACACAGGCTAATAAAGGAGACTCAGGAGTTTTCTTGCTGCAACAAAGAACCTCAAGACTCGAAATAGTGTAGCTAATCCTGATCTGGGTCTTCACACGTTCTGTTTAGTGTATGAGTGAAGCGCTCTGTGAAAACTGTGACAGGATGAGTGACGGCTACGGTGATGCAGACAGATGTGTGCGAGCGTGTGCGCATGTCGGCCAGAGAGTGTGTGGGTGTGTATCTGTCGGGCTGTGGCTCGAATCTCTTTGAATAATGCTTAAAGGCAGGTGTGATAGCTGGAGCGATGAGGCATTCCCTCGGTAGAGAGAAAGCGGTGCAGTGCTTCCTGTGTGCTGCGCATGCCAATGATGAAGAGCCTGGTTAAAAATAGAGCTGCAGTCACACAACCTTAAATATTTAATATCCTACATCTCATCCATGGAAGAGAAATATTGAGCCTCCACAGGCAGCATTTTAAAGGGATAGTTTTTTTTTATGATAGCGTTCGATCAAGATAAGCGTGAAGGGTGCTAGTGTTTTTATTCTCTTTATAAATACATGTTGTTGATTAATGAAGCCTATATTACCTAATTAGATATGTGGATGTACATTTTTCTTTTATTCTTCTGTTTATGGTTTTACTGCCTGTACAGCACTATGGTCAACTCGGTTGTTTTATTCAGTGCTTTATAAATACATTTGAATTTGAATTTGAATAGTTATTAAGAAAAAATGTAATTGTTATTAATTACTAATGTCATTCAAAACCTTGTGAAATGACTTTCTCCAGAGCACTTTTTGATAAATATACTAGTTTAACTAATGCAAACTGAATTGGGTTATATAACTAAAACTATTGAGAAAAACTGTGAAAAATTGAAATTAAGCTGAAATAAAATATGAATATTAGATGAAAAATATTAGATGAAAAACTAACTGAAATAATTGAAGTTAAAGCACAAACTACTAAGTGTAAAAAAAAACAAATTGAAGAAGTACAATTAAAGCTGGAATAAAAAAATAAACTTATCAAAGTAGTAAGTAATTTCAGTGTGTTTTTCAAACAAATCATGAAGCTACAAAATACTTCCATGGTAGAAAGTAGAAAGTCATTTGAGAGTTTACAATTTTGGTTTGTGTTACTTGTGTATCTGTGTACTATTCCTTTAAGTCATTAAGGACAGTACGATCCCAATGCTAAGGTTGCTCCAAAAGACAGCAGAGTTTGCTAATTCAGTGAAAAATACATAATTTATCATGAATTGCTTTTTCATAATATTAGTTTAATATTTAGTATAATATATTGCATATTATCCAAGTAATAATTATACAGAATGTTCCTAAAAATAATTTAATATAATTAAAAATATTATTTATTCAACATGCGTGTTATCTCTATTCATGCTTATTAGAGTATTGCATTGTTAACATTAAACTCAATTGTGAAATGAATTATGAATGTGTACTTCACTTGAGGTTCAATGCTGCCTAAATAGACAGCAGACAGAGAGATGCTGACACAATGGTGAGGATAAGTTTCAGAGAAAAATAAAAATTTTGGGAGAAAACGGGCACTTGGAGAAATAATCCTCTTATTACATACAGTAGAACTCAATTGAGATATCAGAGACTTTGTTAATAGTCTTACTGCAGATAAGAGGGTTATGATTTTAGTCGCATATGGCACAGACTTTGCCAGTCACACTGGTTTTCAATACATGGGACGTTCTTCCAATCTATTAATAGCACAGGAAAAAAAACGGATATGTCTGCAGTTTTCCCGTAAAGCCACTCTGGCAGAAAGTCAAACCAGTTCAGTGTCAAACCTCAGCGAAATGTGCCCAGACATCCAAACACACTTAACGTCCACATCATGAATAATGGCATAGGTTTGGTATAATTGAAAATAATTTCAACTGACTACTATTTTTGTATTACTACCTCTCAAAAGCTGCTATACAAGCTCTTTTCTAGATGTCACCATTGAAATCGCAATAGGCAGTGAACTGCGAGAGGAAGGACTAGTGTCTCTGCAGTGGCTAGTGCTCGGGCTGATGTGCGGGACAGCAGAGGAGAGATAAAGGTTAAGTACACATCTACAGGGAGAGGAAAGCAGCAGAACACAGCAGCCTCTGAGCCTAGCCTTTTGTCCGGCCAATGGATCACGCTGATGGATGGATCCAGAGAGAGCTTACGGCTGCAGGTCATTAGCAGCGAAACGTTAGCAAGGTGTTTTCTGAAAAACACCCAGCTTGGGGAACACAGGGCTTTATTTACAGGATAAGCAGCGAAGCATCTTTGTAAGGAAAGTCGATACCACACATTTTGTAGCCAAGCTACAGTCTTCATCTATCTGGCCAAGTAAACATGATATGAACGGCTCTATTTTAACTATCTAATTCTAAGCGCATGGACTAAAGCACATGGCAGAAGTGCACTTAGAGCGTGTGCGAAACCACGTTTGCTAGTTTAACGACGGGAAAAATGCTCGACATCCCGGCGCGTGGTCTAAAAAGGTTGTCCCTATTCTCTTAATGAGTAATGGGTGTGTTTTGAACAGATCTGCTCGTGTGTGAGGTTAATGTGCGCGAGCAGACCATCTAGACGAGACAAAGTGTATGCATGTTCTGGACCCACCTATATGCGCACATTACTAACGAGCTCTTTAAATAACAAAAAATATATATTTTGGGACGTCTACTTTAGCAACGCGCCAACAATGTGCCTGAACACATGACCTGCCATGGCCACACAATGTACAGTAGATGTGTATACTTTCTGCAGTGGCGTAGGTTTGATTTTGAAATTGGTGGGGACGGGGACATAAATATATACATATATTTAAAGTTTTGATCGAAATTATTGCTAGGGATTGCTACACATCCCTGGCGTCCCAAATAAATTATACGCCCCTGACTTTCTGGACTAGGTCTGTTATTGTGCATGTTCTTAAAGGTTGTTTCAGGGCACTGTATATGTAGGGACACTTGTATTATAGAGGGTTTATGTTTTAAATCATAATCTGCCTGGTCAGCCAGACTCATTTGACTAAAACACACAGACACACAAAATGGAAACATTAATTCAGACAACCTTCATCTTTGAATCTCTTGGCTTTCCTCTAATCTCAGTACATTGACAGACAGATACACTCTACATACCTCAGATAACCTTTTGAGTCCATCTCATTTTTTACACAACAGAAGAAACAGAACATCAAAAGGGCTGTTATAGTATGGTGCCTGACAATTTCAGGAACCCTTAGCCATCACAGTATGGTGAACTAGGACATAATTTAGCAAGCATCAAGCAGAACATCTATTTCGTTTGGCAGCTTCTTTGAGGCATAAAGTAACTCTCAAATCTAGAAGAAACAATTTGTCTACCGCATCATAAAAAGCCAAAGGGGGTACTGATCCGACAGGGCTAAGCTGTCTTCTCTGTCCTCAAAAGCCCTGAACTGGCTCTACAGAGTGTACAGAGGGTGAATTATTATAGTTGGCATTCTTAGCCTTATGTGCCCAGGCCCTGTCCCCAGAGTCCCGCTATCTCTCCCAAATCGCTCTCAGGAGCGCCCCTTGCTGATTGTCACCTTTTGAAATGGCTGAACATGGTCCCCACCAGCTCTCCGATGCGGCTGTCCCCTGCTGGCACCATGCCTTGCAAGCACACGATTAGGTCCTGGTTGTCTTTGGTGTGGAAGACGACCAGCTGGTCCTTCCCAGGGGAAACGCTCATTCCGGTCACCTGAGACAGAAAGAAAGGGTGATGCCAGTTAAAAACGCACTCATACAGACACAGAAGACCAGCGTTCACTAATAAGCCCTTCCATAATTTTGTTCTCATTATTGTCAACCTGGGTGGGCCCTGGGTTTTGGTGGTGCACTCTCAGGAAACATTACATATCTGTTGGTACATTGAAGTGTGAGAGCAACTGGTGTTGGAGTTTTTTTTTAAGACATGGTTCCAGCCCAATTACCAACAACTGGTCAAAACAATAATTTAACATGAGACAGGTGATAATTAAAGTGATATTAGATGTTTGAGTATGGTGGTTCGGTGATTGGTACCTTGGGCTCTAGTTCAAATGTGTCAGAACAGACTGCAAAGGTCAATGACATTATGTTTCTATTAAATGCTAAATTAAGTATTTAAAAATATAGTCAGGCAAGGGCAATGACTTAACTTGAAAACACCTGAACTATCATCCATTTCAGTGTATTAACTGAATTTCATTTTCACATTTTTTGTAGGGCTTTAAGCAAAAATGTCAAAAATGATCTAGAGATTGTCAAATAAAGAAAATCATTTAAAAACAATTTAAAATATTATATTATATTATATTATTATATTATATTATATTATATTATATTATATTATACATTGACTGCCATTTCAAAGTCTGGTTTAAACACCATACAGGAAGCCACTTTATTGTCATTTGACCAGAAAACTGTAAAAAAGAACATGATAGCGCTGTAGACCCTTAGCAAGTCTCTTAAAAATGTCAGATCATCAACCTATTTATGACATGAAAAGGATAGCTCAGGCTGGCAAATGGAGAAATCACAAAAAAAATGGAATTTGTAATAAAATTCCACACACAGTTTATTACAAATGACATTTTATTATGAAGTTTCTGGAAATAATGATTAGAGTCTTTACTTTTCATGGTCACACCAATCAACAATTTTTTGTCTCAAACTTTATGCTGAAAATTTCATAAATTTTTCAGGTATTTACATTACATTTGTAACTGTATTTTTCCAGATGAAGCACTTCAAACTGTGTAATGCAGTTTCCTTGAGGTAAAAATGTATTTGTCTTTCATCTCTCTCTCTTTCTCTCTTTCACCCAGATAGGGGCTAGGGTTCAACGAACACAGTCTGGTCTAAAGTAAAAAAGAGCTAGGGGGAAATCGAGTGTATTGACTCCCCCGTGGATCAGTATTTCTGGGCAAAAATCACTAGCTGAATTGATTAAGAAACTAAGGATCTCTAGTCCACATCTAAGATTTGGTGATGGACACATAGAGAAAAGATGCAAGAGGGCGACAGCTGGTGTGACCAATTTAGGACCGCATTATAATACAGTCATTATTGGATGCCGGATATGAGCAATTTGTCACTTACAGTTTGAGTAAATATTTAAAGAGTTACGAAAGAATATTTAAACAGTTACGAAAGACGAATGTGAGTATGACACTGTTGACCAGTCCAGAACAGCTTGTGGTATCCCGATATCCATATAATACTTGTGGAAATATAGATCAGGCAAACCCCTGGTGTCTGGTAGAAACCAGTAGAAAATTAGTCACATTACTACTGACTTCCTGTGTTTGAAAATGATTGAAGGAATTGTAGTGTTCCCACTGTTATGTAAAAGATTCATTAATTAGTATCATGCAGTGTGATTTTATGCACTATAGGCTACATATCTTCTATTTCCCCATTCCATATTAATACTAGGCAATTTTATTATAATGTCTTATCATTCCGTGATAAATTAACCAAATAAACATCATTCAGGAAAATATAAAGACTACAAAGAGGTCTATGAAGCGTAAAACAGCCTGCAACAGGAGAAAAAAAAGATGAAAACAAAGAAAGACCACAGAAGTGCAAAGACACAAGCAAGCCCGAGCAGAAGGAACACACAGAGGAGGCAAATTTGTGCACATGCTGAAACGATACTAGACATCAGCTGATCTCCACTCCCTCCGTCACCATGACAACCCCATCCCCTGGGATGTTGGCATGACAACAGTGAAGAAAGAGATGGATGAAGAAGGAGGAGCGTAGCTGAGTTGCAGAGTGGATTTTTTTATGGGTGGGGGGGTGGGGGTGGGGATTAACGTGGTGTTTTTTTTTTTGTTTTTTTTTTTTGATAACTCTGTAATGGTTTTTTTAAGACATGGTTCCAGCCCAACCATTTAATAATGCAATGAGTGTCCTTGATATCCTTTTTGTCTTTGAGGTGTTTGCTGACACATAAATCATTTTATCAATTTCCTTACCTGTGCGTTCTGTGACACTGGAGCAATAAATAAATGTGAGGGGCAGGAAAGGTTTAGCAGGGGAGTGACCTTTCCCTGATCAAGAGATTATTCCCTGATTTTCGAACCACTGTGCATATAATCAAAGCAATAAAAAACGCGTATAACCGCTGTATTTGTGTTAAATGAAGTACAAAAGAATACTATTGAACACTGTTGATAAATTGAATTGTAAAATTCAACTCGCTTCTCCCACTACTAATGCTGCCAATTTAATTGAGTTAAAATACTACAATAGCCTATATATTTTTTTTTTCAATAGTTTGGGGTCAGTAATACATTATATATATATATATATATATAAATATATATTTCAAATAAATAATTTTTAACTTTCTATTCATCTAAAAGATGCATCATGGTTTCCAAAAAAATATTAGGCAGCACAACTATTTTCAACATTGATAATAATAAGAAATGTTTCTTGAGCACCAAATCATCAAATAAGAATGATTTCTGAAGGATCATGTGACACTGAAGAACATTCAGCTACCACCACAGGAATACATGACACGTAAATAAATTACTATTTTACTATTCACTATTTTAGCTATTTTATCATTTGTAATAATATTTCATATTATTGTTTTACTCTATTTTGATCAAATAAATGCAGCCTAAATGCAAATAAAAGCTGATGTTTACTCATACAATATATTTATTGATTCATTCAATAAAAATAAATAAATAGCTCAAGCACTCAAAGGTCTGAACCCATATAAAACTAATCCCAGAGACAGAGGGTTTGCTTGACCTGAGCTGTATTTCAAGCACAACAGAGAATTAATTTAGTGTAAAGCTATGTTATGTAAACTGACTATGACTAATGACTAGATGTTGTACCAATTTTAGCTCAAGATAAAACATTTTGGGTTTACCGATTAAAACAGACTTTATTAACCCTGGAAGTATATAAACAATCCATTTTGATTTTAACTGTGAAGAAAATTACATCACTAAAATCTGAATCGATTTCGATCGATAATCGGCAGTCGTATTATTCTGCTGCTTGAATGCAACCTATGCTTACTTAGGTAAAAATAAGGTTAATATTTACATTATAGAGTGGGATGCTCTTCATGGGCTTGTACTGCTTGACAGGGTCCATTTTGTAGAGGTGGCGATCAGTGATGAGCAATGCTCGGTCCTCTGCTTTATTGAAGCGATTGATCTGTTAAGATAATAATATTGCATAGGTTAACAACATACAAAGCAAACACCCGCGACTTGAGCAGTGATGCACATTAACTGTGAGTCAGAGAAGTCTGAACCGATTACAATCAAGGACATACTTTGCGGACATTGCAGGAGAAGAGGATCCTCATGAACTTATCTTTCCTCTGCAGATCACTGGACACCAGAGTGAAAGAAGATGCTGTCCCAGGACTGTCCCTTTTCTAAGAACAGAAAAATCCTGGTGTTAAACATTCTATACTAAATGCATTCTAATTTATTTTAAACCATCTGTTAATCTCAGACACATTGTATGATTTTAAACACTAACCAGGTAGTTGCCCTCCCAGGCTCTCTGCAGTCCTAGATCTGCTCTCTGCCCCTTCAGGCACTCCAATGTGGCCACTTTAGCCCTGACCTGCATCATCTCCTCTGGAGACAGGCCTTTAATTAGCGTCCAGGCCCACCATCTAAAATGATTTCAAATAAATATCCTAAACACAAATCCATCACCAGGAACATACACCGTAATTGTTACAGGAATGTACTGTAAATATACTGAAACCACACTCAAAATGCTATTCAAAATATAACCTAAACTTGGAAATAAGCAGAAAGTTTTGTGGTTTTTAAAAAAGTGACCAAGGAAACATTATGGAGTAAAAATGGAGTAGAAATTTCAATAATTTAACAAAACATTTGCATGTTGAAGGGGTCATGACATGAGACAAATTTGGTCTTTGGATCATTAAACATCTTGCAAGTTTCATAGTGTAAAACAAAGAATCTATTTAATTAATTTGTTTTGATATTGCGGGATCTAATTATTAGTTTGCGAACCCCAGTTTGAGAAAGCCAAAAGGTAGTAAACCAAATACTGATGAGAAATAGTGGAATTTGTGTTAATTTCAGTCAGATTTTACACTCAAGTTGTTATGCTGATAATATAATTTGTATTGAAAATGTTGCTTACATGTTTTTTTCAGGTGCAAACAATCGATGTTACCCTCAAATTGTTATACTGTTATATTTTTATAGTTTTTATTTTATTTTTATGATGTAGGTGCACATCTGCTGTCTGACTAAAAATCTAAACACCAGGAATATTATTTTGAATTTTTCAACATTGTTTTCAGGGTCAGAGCTGTGTTAAGGCTCTTGTGAATAGATCTCCAACAAAGCTTTGATCCAAAGATCAATATGTGCCCCAGGCTCAACAGCCCTGTTAAACACAAGAGAGCCTTTCCATTCTTAAAGACCTAGGAAATACACAAGCCTTTAGCAAAAAAAAAAAAAAAGAACATTTCCTTGTCCAACAATGATAAAGAGCTGAAAGCATTGAACTGAGTCAGAGACATTATATTGTCCCCCTTCACACGGCTGACGTTAATGCAGAACAACTGAAGCCATACATGACTACTCCATGAGTCACGCAGAGCCTGTTCTCTATAACTCTGACCTGTTGTAGATGTTCCTCAGCGCCTCCTCAAACTTCCGCAAGACCTTGGGCGGTGTGGGCCATTTCACATGTTTACCATGATCCTTCATGCCACGGACATTTTTGAAGCGGCGGTTGACCTCTCGGATGTATGACTTAACCTTGTATCGTCTGTACGCCTGGATGATGATAAGAGCGGCACGCATGCGGCGGTAACGCCTTCTCGCCAGTGTTCCACGCCACACCTGAGTGAAAGAGTGCGATAAAAAAAGAGTGTGAGTGAAAGTTCAAGATTAACATTGTAACCTAATGCAAATATCACAATATCAATGAAACTTTTGGACTATCTCAAGGCAAATGCAAATAAAGACATGACAAAGGCAATATCAACAACAGATATTTACTTAACATCTTCTGTACACAACATGGTCAACTAAAAATATTACTTTTTTGACTAAATTTAAATGCTATCTGTCAGTAAAATGGACATAAAAATGACATGAACATTTTTCAAAATTTACATTTCAGACAAAAGACAAACTCAAAATGAAAAAAGGTGAAAAGTTTTTAAAAATGTATTGTTAATCTGATTTTTTTTATAGCTGTATCGGAACACGGTTACATATTTTCTTATATCTAGATGCATAACGTCATTCCAAGCATTTCGGCTACTCCTCAGGTCTAAATATAGCAATTTGCATCTTGTTTATTTGTGTATGAGAATACCCCTGGAAGAGATACAGTATATCATGGTGCCAAATATAACGCATCTGCTCCAATGATACATATAATGTGATCTGTGGCACCCAAAGTGCATTTCTCAGGATGTAAAGCTGGTCTTAGACATGAATAATAGATGATAATGGACCTCTGGGGAGCTGTTTAAGTGGCTCAGTACTCAGAAAAAAACCCCACCATATGTTGAATCCACATTACATTGACTCAGGTGGGACTGGGAAGAGGTGAAAGGAGCCTTATGTCAGGCAAATGTGACATCATAAACATGAGGTTAAACTTGATGTGTTGTCCAAAGATATCAATTCCAATGTCTTTTTCTAAACGCCTGTCTTAAAAATTGAGAATGCTGCTTTTTGGTGACCTGGACGTTCACCACAGTTGCCTCAAGCTTGCATTATATGGTTTAAAATTCAGTGTCAAATTTTGTGTTAAATTAAATTAAATAAAACTCAACTCAGCACTGTAGTGTGGGTGAGTAGTACCCCTACATGGTGTTTGCCTATGTGCTAGTACTGACCTCAAGGAAGAACTTGCTTTGAGTTCTGTGCTACTGTGACTGAACCCATTACGTAACTTAACTGTATGACTAATGCAGAGGAGTGCAAGAACAGCAGGACTCCACATTCATACTCAGCAAATCTGATACCCTAGGAACCACATCACTAAATTGATGCGATGGACATGATGTGCACTTGTGTCATTTCTAAACACTTATCAATTAATCAGTCCGAGAGAAATGCAGGAAAATACAGATAATAACTTATTGACATTATTGATTATGCATTCATTTTGATGTATTACAGATTACATAAAGGTAATTAGCTTTGCTAATTAGAGGTTGAAGGGTGCATTTCAAATTTTGTACAAAGCAGCATGTTGCCCAGATTTGGATAATCTTTGAAATTTGCTTTAACTACAATTTTGTTTTTAAGTTTATGGAAATTATGCTGCTGATGATTTGCAATTTTAATGTCAAAAAGTATTTACATATTACATAAGGGAATAACTTATTGCATAACCAATTGTTTTTGTCAGACTAAAAGTCTGATCAGATGTTTTTAGGCTGTCTTTTCAAGGGGGAGAAAATTATTCTGAAATAAATATTGACAACAAGGCATTAACAGCAAATGCATGTAAATGTAAATCGAGCATTCACACATGAATTTAATATAAATATATATTGAAATTGTGTAATGCACACCTACTGTAATGTGTGTATGCATATACACATCTATATCTATATACTGTATGTATACACAAACAAACAGATACACATACACATATCTAAATGGATTCAATCCCCTTTGCAAATCAAACTTCCGGCTGGTTACAAAGAACAAATCCAACAAAAGAATGGGTTAAGATTCCCCAGAAACGCTGCACGAAGCTGGTGTCTGGTTATACATCTCATTTCCAGCAGGTCATAACAGCAAAAGGGTGCTCTATTAAGTACTAAAGATGCTTGCCATGAAGGGGTTGTATAATTCTGAGACTGCAGATGTCATTAAAAGTTGCTAAAGGTCTGTAAATGTTGCCAATTGCAATGGGGATTGAATATTTTTGAATACAACTGTACATATAGATTCATATTCATATACATTCATATAGTGTATATACTATTGTATATACATATAGTGTACCTTCCTGCAAAGTTCAGCTCCAACCCTGATCAAACACAACTGAACCATCTAATTGAGATCTTCAGGAACACTTGATAATTAACGTTATGTTTATATTTACTATATATTATTTACAAAAATGAATATTACAGCATTTATACTTTGTAATGCAGCACACCACTCCCATCTTATCAAATTAGCAAATACATGTTTATGCTGCAGGAAAAACAATTGACAAGCAAATATCCAATTTTACAAATATTCCTAACCAAAAAAGTCTACATAACTTGAATTGTAACCAGAAGCAGAATAGCAGAATGTCTGGGTGAAAATCAGCCTGAGCTGTTCAAATTGTGTTTATGGTCATTTAGAGAGTTAAGGCCAACTACACATTCACACAGGCCATGCTAATGACATTGGAAATGCTTAAACAGTGGGTGGACAGACGTTTTGAGTTTTTTTTGTGTGTTTTTTTTTGTTTTTTGAGAGAGAGAGAGAGAATGATGATAGTTGACGACACTCGGGGGAAAGTGGGTAAATCAGGCCAATAACAAGACCTCAACTCACCCCGCCCCCTCCAGTCAGTTTGTCAGATCAGCGTTTAACAAACCCAGCACAATACCGCCTCTCCGCAGCAGATTTACACACTCATCAAAGCCAGACTGGAGAAAGCTATGACAAAGAAGTCTCATATAACAAATAATTCATGCATAAATCTTTCAATCAAACCCATTGCTTAGCACTTTTTCTTTTTTATTTTATTTTAAAGGGATAGTTCACTTTGAAATTAATTTTTGGTATGTTTTAGCTACCGCAAGGGCATCCAAGATGAAGGTGTCTTTGTTTCCGCAGTATTTTCAATTTTGATATTTTTAGGTCAAACCGTTCTTGTCTGTCAGTCATATAATGCAGGTCTATGGTCAGCACGTCAAAGAAGTCCAAATTAAACATGATTTAATGACTCATAAATGTAAATACACAATGATGGACTAAGACATGAAACAAGCGGTTTGTGTGAGAAAACGAACTGTATTTCTACTTACATTTACGAGTCATTAAATCATGTTTAATTTTGACTTCTCTGTGCATGCTCTTTAAGGTGGTGACCATAGACCTGTATTATATGACTGTTCTTAACAGACAAGAACAGTTTGACCTAAAAATAGCAAAATTGAAAATACAGCAACATCAAAGACACCTACATCTTGGATGCCCTTGAGGTAAGCTAAAACATACCAAAAATTAATTTCAAAGTGAACTATCCCTTTAAGGGCTGCCAAAAATATTGAAAAGAAAGAGTATGACAAGATAAGATTTATGTATTTTAATGGCTATAACTGGTGTGCAAACATTTTTATTGCGATGAAATAAGAGTGACATATAAATAAAAAGAGGCTGTTGAATCTTTCATCCTGCAGAAAACAGGACAAAGAAATTCAAGCAGAATCTATTCAGTTGTACCATCAGGTGTCAAAAGGCAATTACAGATGGCTGACAGAATGTGAGGTGACTTATCATTAATCAGAGAGGCAGGCAGGCAAATCCCACAATCCCTAAACACACACAATTTCATACACTGGCAGGACAGAATCACGGTCAGTATATGTGACGGAGTTAAACGCATACACAAAAGATCCTAACCACAGACAATCTCACAAGCAGTGGGGGAGGAAAATGCGAAAGAGCCATTTTCATAAATCAATAACATGTGCTTGGCAAACCATTGACTTGGTGATGGAAGCCTCCATCTTCACTGTGTTGTCTGGCAGATTGTTGGACAAGTGTGTGTGTGTGTGTGTGTGTGTTTTTGTTGGGGGGGGGTGGGTTGATGCCACTTTTTCAGCCAAATAACAGCGAGGCTCCTTTTGCAGCTGTCATTGCAATCATGTTTGACTGCTGTAAAAGTTGTCTACATTTTAATATGTAGATAAAACGTGCAATGCAAATCTAGGATACTCCTTATTAAGGTGTTCTCAGAGTTTTAAGCATGTTGCTACATGGTAGCTAGGCTAGTGTTTGCTAGGTGGCTACTTACTTTATGAAGTTAATACTTAATTTGAGTTATACTTAGTTAACCTTTTCACATCCTAAGTATGAGAATTGGTGTCTGTACTTTATTTAAGTATTTATTTTGAGAAACAAACTTTTATCCACTACATTTCATAAAAATAAATCATTCCTTGTTATTTTGAAATTAATAAATCAATGTCCGGATTTGTGAAAGAGCTTTTTAATGAATTGGCTCACAAATCACACTTAATGATTTATTTGTGAACTGGAGTGATCCCATTGCAGCTGTTCTCGAGTCAATGACACAGTCAGAGTGCATCTCCAGTTAACAATTCACTGAATTGTTTATGTCTGACACAATATGGCAAAAATCGGTATTATGTAGTTGCTGACTAGGAGTCCCTGGTAGAAGAGATACTGTCTCTCAACGGGACATTCCAGATTAAAAAATAATAATAATAAAAAAATAAATGTAAAAAATAAATAAATTAAATAAGTTACTACCTAAAAAAATTGTTTAATGATGGATGCCGTTGACATGTTTTGTCTATTGAAAATCACTGCACATTTCCCATCTTGTCTTATCTCTAATCTTAGCTCTGGTAATGATGTAACCACCAGAAAGAGAGAAAAATCCCCACCACTAACAGTATAAAGAACAATAATGAACAAATGTCAACCGATTCCTTGACAATGAAAATGGAGTCGAGGAAACGGTAATAATATTTTGATAGATAAAAGAAATTGAGCACATCTGAACTGGCTCTTTTCAAGGACAAAATAGTAAAACACCTTCATTAGATGCAGTACATTTTCATTTCCCACTTTGCCAGTATATGGCGTGTCCCCATTAACTGTCATCTCGTGAGCCATCAGGATGGGGTTATTGCACCAGGCACACGTTTCACTAAAACCTACAGTTTTTACATGACAAGAATAAAATGCAAGTATTAGATGCTTCATTTTTTTGAATAAACGGTGTTCATCTACTACTGCAATCAGGCACAGAAAAAGGAAGATGCAGCAGTAGAAAAACATCTGAGCAAAACAAAAATCCTAGAGGAGGTATAAGGGATTTATGGGGGAAATATAGGAGATTTATACAGGGAGTCTGACATCTTTGTGCACAGAGTGTTTGTTTACCTCAGCAGATGCAATAAAAATCCACATTGTATTGTCAAGTCTTAAATCTGTTGTCATTTCAGAAATTAGTGATATGGGATTTAACTCAGTCCATAAAATAAACAGAGAGCTTCTCTCACAGCAGAAACCACAACTAACATAGTTGATCGCAGTGGATGCTGGGGCTTGAACGAATAAATTATTAATTAAAGGAAGGGAATTCATGAATAATGCAGCCACTCAATGTTTGTGTTTTGTACAAGCTGATCCGATTTGCTTCAAATTGCCTCCATTCAAAGACACATCTTTCTGATGAACCGAACAGAGGGTCATACGGCGAGAGTCAGCATGCATCTTGCCTCTGCCCAAAGGAGCTCCCTGGCAGAGCAGAGCATCCTGGGTATTTTCATCACCTACGGGAGAAGCGCTAAAGCATAACGGCTTAGAAATGGCAGTGGAGTGAGGGGGTGGAGAAAGGCAATGGCACAGAAAAATGGCAGGAGATCTGTGAAGCAGTGGTGGGGTGGGACAGACAGGAAATCTGGAGAAAGTGGGAGGTGAGGAATAACAGAGCATTGATTGGGGGTTATTTTGGTTTACATCCTTAAAAAAGATGAAAGATTTATCCCCGAGTGATACACACTGAGAAATGAGAGAAAGGAGAGGAAGCAGACCTCAAAAACCTACAAACAATGAGATTCATACAGATGAGCAGTAGCATTTTTAAATTGGGTTCATTGGGAGCCTTTGGCATAAATATTAGAACCGCTGGCAAAACCAGTAGACTTGGCACAACTCAGTCCAGTCTGCCATATGCTGATAAAGGGATTGTGTGTGAAAGAAAGATGATCCAAACCTAAGAGACACACGTGTGAACGGTTTCATTTTTTGGGGCTAACCGTAAGTTGATGTTTTTTGTGCAAAATAACACATTAGCGCCTGTCACTCACTGGAGATAACTCAAGGTTATTGCCTGGAGGTTTACAATATGATTGATACAGAGCCAACATTCCCCTAAATACTGTTTTTAAACCTTAGGGAATTCAAGATTAACCTGTTTCAGGATTACACCTCTAACTCAGCTCTGAATCCATAAAACAAGATCAAACAATCAAACTCCGATCGAGGCAGAGCAAAGTTTCAACTCTTTGATATCTGCATCTGCTCATGAATGTAGCAGTCTGGTGACACCTACGAGAGCTTGAGTTTGATATTGAATGTAAGTGTGGTGAAAAATCATGTCAGTTTGTGTTTAAAAGCATCTCGAAAATGGGTATCCCCTGATAACATCTTCTGAAATAGAGAATCTTGCAACAGGGGGGGAGTGGTAAAAGCAACACTCAATGCACAGACAAGAGCTGACAGAATAGATACTTTGATTTCTAGCTGTCAGTCACTGAAGACAATAAAGTGAGAGTGGGGAATATACAGTAGCGTGCTAAGACCCCCCAATCATTTTGTGTGACAGTGACATGACACTGGCAGTTAATAAATCTGCCATTCAACATATTTTCACGTTCCTGAGGAAAAATAAAAGTAGAAAAATCCCTTTAAAAAAAAAACAGAAAGCATTGTGTTTTGTGTATTTACACAGACAAAAGAAAATGCCCTAAGCCAAAGGGATTTATGTGCCATATTATTTTATTGTTGCCTTTGCTGTGGTGTGAGGTCTGCTGTTGAAAACTAATGGTGTCAATGAATCACAGGAACTAATGATGCGGATATGGCACCTTGTTGTCTTTGGAGCTGATTAAAGCTGCAGTCTGGCGTTTTTCCTCTTTGTTGCCATCTATGTTTGAAATCTGCAATTGCAGTCATTAAAAATTATCAACTTTACGACGTGTGTGTACTTCAACACCCTCGACACGGCACATTGTGGATGAACACAATGTTTAAGGAGACTGTGAGGCTGTCAGTAATGCGCAGATATGGATACTGGCATTCAGAATCACAGATTATTCTTTTTGGAAATATGACCAACTTAAGAATTTTGCGTTAACATAATAAAATGTCATTTGAGCTAGTAAGAAAAATCCACTTTTGTTCTGGTTCTGACATTGCAGTAAATCGTGCTGATTATATCTAACAATCGCTTATAAGTTATCCTATCACATAAAACCGTGCAAATTATACTTTGTTCCCAAATTGTTAATGTTAACAACATAAAAAGCGTGTGACTAAATGTAATGTCCTTCTGATATGTATCCTTGTTTTCGCATGGATCCGGCTGCAGTGTCTATTTTTCTGTAGCCACTCCGAAGTCCGAACGAAGTCTTTTGCATTTTACAGTGGGTGAATCTCTACTTGTCACTGGTCATTGTCGTTTGAACCTTTTTGGATCTGCCATCAAATTGATACGTTTAATTATATCAAGTGCTGTGAGAAAAGGCCTCAGACGCAATATAGCTTATACTAGCCGAGACTCCTTCTTTATGTGTTTTAGATGTGACTTAATGACGCAAAGACATGCTTGAATCTCAGTACCAGTGGAATTAAAAACATTATTACAAGCTTAACGCTTTCAATCGAGTTAAAGCAAGCAGAAAGTTTTGAACACTGGCTGGTTATGCATTTTCTGAAATATGTATTTTAGATCATTTTTAACCCCCCAAAAATGCCATAATGGAGTTTTATCAAATTTCAGAATAAATTTTTGAAAACCAGCTGAATATCAAATGAAATACTGTGAATGTCTTTTATGAAAAACTGGCAGCAAATCCGTACATTAGAATAATGTCATAAAGGGATAGTTAACTGAATATATTTGAAGCCACTGAATACATTTATATAACTAAACACCAGTCATTTAAAAAAATTGAATTAAGCCTAAGCAACACATAACATGTCTCGAACCTTTTGCAGAAAGAGGACGATCCTCTTCACCATCTCTGCTCTCTGCTCCTCCAGGCTGAAGATGGTTCGGGGAGTACGGATGAAAACTTTGGTCTTGCCGTAGGCCACGTCATGGTCGAATCCGCAGCCCTGTAGGAGACGTTTCACCGCCTCCTTATCAGACGGCAGGTCGTGATTGGGCCAGGTGAACTCGGAGATCATCTTATACCTGAAAAGTGAAAAAGAAAAGAAAATGGTTGAAGAATAGAGAACAACACGTTGTCTCATACGGTTTATATTATTCTCGGCATTTTAAACTTCCTTCAGTATTATACGACCATGGAGTAATATTAATAATAATACATGTATTTATTAAATAGTTTCACATTTATTATAATTATTATAACCTCTCTTTAGCAAAGAAATAGTTAAATCTTTTATTACCAATAATCAAACTAAACAATTATTTTTTTTTCAATGTCCCAGGTCATTTCACTCAGCAGCTATTTCAGTCAAGCAAGCACAGCTCTTATTTATTTTAATGGGGAAACATCAAATTCTCCAAAGCTGTTCACCAAGCTTATAATTAAATTTCATATTAAAATAACCAATGAAATCTGTCAATAATTCTTTTTTATAAAGACTGGAATCATGATAAAAAAAACAGCATTTTTCACAAGCATGGCTCAGAACAATGACTGTTTCTCAGAACCCTGACTAAATGCAGCTGCAGTAATGCAATGACCGTACCAATTGACGATTGGGTCTTTTATTTTGAAGGCGGGACTAATTCCACCAAATTGCGTTTTGAACTTTCTCCCATTCGTAGTAATTTAAATGCATCATCATTGTATAAAGTCTTTGGTAATATGCTGTAGTTCTTTATCCTGTTGGCTGTATAAAGTTGCCTAGCAGCAAACAATAGCAACTTTCTGCATTAATATAGGCTTTAAACACAGGTTATCCACCAATCAGAATACAGAGTCTGAATTATCCATTTTATTACAAGCATTATATAACACACATTGAATCTTTATTTAAGAGAGGTATGAGGCAAATCCTCATACAGTATGTCCAGTCTCGCATCTTAAGTAGTACATAATATTCCATGCACATCTGCAGCCTTGACAGACACACAAATCAATCAAGTGCTGTTAACACTGCATTCTCAATTAGATGCAATGCAGTCTAACTTCTTAGCGGCATACAATTTGTCAACTCAGGTGTTGAATCTCATAAACTCATCAGAGTTGTGGCAAGTGTGTTTCATGGTGTTTTGGGGGACTGTTTTGAGCTTTTGAGCAATATACAGATACCTCAAAAAGTATTTGGACACTACTGGCATCAGAGAATGTTTTTTTTCTCTCTCTCAAGGATTCTGGTCCTATATTTATATATCAAGAATAATTGTATATTCAGTGACAAAAGTACAATGTATGATCTGCTAACTCAAGGCTATTGAAAAAGACTAGGCTATTGAAAGACTGCACGTCATTGTTACATAAAACCCTTCAGTTATCATGACACTTGATGAATAAGGGACTCCGAAGGATAAAAGCTTTCACGTGTTGCGTAAGATCTTCACAATCTTGTCAATCTGTAGTTTCAGATGTCAGTAGCAACCAAATAGGCAACAGTCTCATTCAAGCTGTCATAAGAGCATTTAGTTACTATAAATGAGCTGAGACTGTATGCCAATGTGAAATGATGCAGGCAATCAAATAAAAAGACTTTTTAAAAAGAAGATAAACAAATGATGATGTAATGCTTTGAAATGGACACAGAAACAGAGTAGGATTGTCACCTCTGAAGGAATCGTGGGTAGGTCTGTCGGTTAGCAAAGCCAGCTCGCCGTACCCGGACATTCTCCAGGAGGCCCAGATACTCCACTTGGTGCTTGCACCGTTCGTGTTCAAACAGCAGCGGTGACTTCACATCATTTGGCTTTATGCAACGCACATAGTATGGCTCCTACATGAACAGAGGACTATGATGAGTAATTGCAACAGTGCAACACTTTTCCAGCAACCTTGGTTCCAAAAGTGTTTTCTCATTGGGATTTTTAAAGTCTTTTTTAAAGAGTTATTATCCAAGAACCAAACCAACCAGCTATGAGGTGAAACACAATAATAATATATTCAATTCAAAGCAAAAAAAAAAAAAAAGACAATAATAAAAGACTATATACTTAATGCTTCAAAGACAGAAAGAACTACAATCCTATGAAATTGACAAATTAACTATTGATTCAAATATGTTGATTATATAAACAATATGTTACATTTATTGCAAAATATACATATATATGCAAATATTTAAGAGCTCACAGTAGGTCTGTCTTTAAAGATTTGTAAGTTGTCATTAAAAATCACTTCCCTTTGGAATGTCATTTTTACTTCCAGAAGCTGACTGCTGCAATCAGACTATTAAATGGCGCTGGAATTCTTGACTCTGATTGGCCATTCAAATGTATGATTGATTAAAAAACAGAAATATTTAATATCCATACCTGCCATCCCACCAAATGCGGGTGGATTTTAGCAGTGGCATGTAACATAGTCACTACTACACTCATTTATACAAAATAATGTCAAAATGCCAGTTTTGGCAACTCTCGGTTATGTTTAAAGTGAACGTAAACAGTTGAGAAAGAAAAAGCATGTGTAACAGTATAATGGATCCATGTGTTGGGTCTTAAAGTGGCAGCAGAGAAAAAAAGTTCAAGTCAATCTCTGCTTATTTGGTAAGATATCGTGTAATAAGAAGGATAACATACATTAGCCTGTCATTATCGCAAAACAAAATCTTAAACCCATGCAATATTCTGTGATAATGGCTGTCTGACTTCACGTTATTACTCCTATAATGTAGCTATGCATTGATCTTGGTCTACACAAAAATGCTTCAAACACACTCACCTTGCTGGCCAGGTTCTCCACCAAAGAGATCATGGAGTTTTTAAAGAGTGTTGCAGCAGTCAAAGGTCGTTTGGTGACCTCTGTGATGCTCAGCTTGCCCTCTGGCCACATGGCCTTTAGCACAGGATTCGAGCTGTAAAACAGAAGGAGAAGGACAGATATAAGTCACAGATGTCGTGTGACATCTGGCAGGTATGTAAATAAGGGTCTTACCTTATGATAATACTGACCTGTTGTAAAGTAACCTCTTGAAGTCCTGAAACAAGGTGTCCTTGTTCTTGTCAATGAAGCCCACAACGGAGTAACTGAAGCAAAACACACAACCAACTAAAATACACAAACATACTGTATATAAAGAGTTTGCACTTGGCAAACTGTCTAAGACTTAAAGGTGAAGAGTGTAATTATTTTTTTAAATGGCAACAAATCAAATGTAAAAAATAATGATTGTTTATATACAGACTTACTGCTACAAGGTTATCAATTCATGGTATATGCTTTCGTTGATGCCATCAGCCCACATTATTTTATTTTATTATATTTTCTTTTCTTCTTTTAAACGGTCTTAAGGATACGCCCACACTCCCGCTCCCACAGACTCAATCACAAGTCCAGTTGTCAATCAATCATGATTTTACCCAGTTTTTATAGCATTAAATAACTAACTAAAACCAAACGTATTGAAAAAAACTAACCCTTGAACAAAAATCAACGTGATACAAACTACCTAAAATGACAGAAAACCAACTTTGGAAAAAATGACTTGAAGTCACAAGTGTAATTTTATCTATTTTTAGCCTAGCTCGGATGCCATTGAATTACAGGGAGAGGAAGGGGTTTATGACCTATATCTCAGCCGACCACCATTTTTTTGGCTTCACAGGATGTTTGGGGCACACAAGCAACTGACACAGAAAAAACTCTAGTTCCTTAATCGAGAATTTATACAATTTTAGATTTCATTCCCCTACCATTTTCTCTCTTTTTTACACATTCACACACACACACACACACACACACACAGGAATCTGAGCATAAACAAGACGTTTCAACTTAGTGTTCCATCACACTTACACCCACAGGTCTTTAGTAAATAACTGACAGCCTGCAATCTGGCAAACTACTGACGTGGGAATATGAAACTGCATTTACATTTGGAATAAACTTGTTTTTGCGCCCAGTGTTTACATCATTCGGATTGACTAATAATGTTTATTTACCAAAACTTTTCAAACCAAAATCATGCCCAAGGGAAGGATTAGATAATTTTCAGTTAAACCTTCTGTGGGTAACTAACAAAGATTGTTAATTACAACATTTAAAAGCTTATGGTCTCAAACAACAGAGAGTGGAATTACGCCTCCTCTTAATGTACTTACGCCACATCTCCAGCATAATGACGGATGCGGAAGTCTCGGTCAAACTCCAGGTTTTTGTCTGTGGGAGAAAGCTGTGGAGAAAGATATGTGAAATTAGGGTGTTTTTTTAAGCAGAAAGTAGACTCACAAAACTTGGAAAGAAACTTAAACAAGCTTGCACAAAGTGCAGCAGTGTCAGAAAAAAAGCTAGGCAACTCAAAGGATGGGAGGGGGCATCTACTCTAAGTTACTCTGCGCATATGAAAGATAGATGAGATGCGCTCTTCTATCCATAAAACAGCCGAGCTGAAAATAGTTCAGTGAACAACTGAAAGAGATGGTGTCCTTTTAACTACACAATTTAGTTGTGAATGGAAAGTGTGCCTACTTAAATTACAGTTATAAAAATTATAGTTCTGACTGCATTCAAAACTATAAAATACGCACCTGTATCATTGTCAGCATGCTATAATCAGCCTAGGGTTATTTTTAATTATATTTTACCTGCCAGGAGAACTTTTAATTCTGAATCAATGCCTGTCCAGCTACTTTTTACTAATTTGAGAAATGAAAAATATCAAATTTTACAGAAATATTGTTCTTATATCAAAACGTTTTAAATTGTCCTCTATGATAAATTTAAGTTTAAACAAAATATATTAATACAAAAATAATTTGGTATTTATGCGCACAATCTTTTATAACAAAGAACAAATTTCCCAATACCAAACATGTGTTTTTATATATAAAAAAAAAACTAATAATAATATAAAAATATACACACACACACACACACAAATTGGTTTGTTACATGTTTTCCATTTTGCACGGTGACAACTGTGCATATAGTTCTAAGATCCTGTTATCAGTGCCAGATCACTGTCCTCCTTGAGGAGCCTCTGCATGCTGGATGGGGCCAGCTAGTGCAGTTATATAAGACTCAGTGTCATTCATAAAATACAGCAGTGACATCAAAGGCAAGCAGCCTCAGCTCTCATTAAGATACAGAATGCTGCTGATCCACTGTGTGAACAGAGACGCACATATCTGCAGATTAAAGCAGAACGGAACAAACACACTCAGTATCCCTCTAACCACAATCTGTCACATGCTGGATTAATTAAAGGATTGACTATCAGTAAGTTTTAGTGAGCTTTTGTGTCACTGTCCCCATTGTATTAGATGCCTCTATTCTGTGCCGTTTTATAGGTCTATGTTTAGTTTGTTTGTGGTGACTCACTCACTTAGCTTATTTCAAGTGCAATACAGATAAAATGGTCCTCTAAGGGAATGGATGAGATGCCACTATCTCTACCAGAAAGGACAAAACTGAATACTTCAGCCAAAGTGGAAGAGAAATCAGAATCAATTTGAATGGATGACTGGAACTGCGTTGAAAAAAAGAAAACCTCATTTTCCCGTTTGAAATTGCAATAGAGATTCGTATTTGATGTGGGACATCTGAAGACTGCATTTCGGAAGAGTTTAAAGACTTTACGGGTAGTGCCCAGACCCAGGCTCTAAACACACTCACTGGGTCTCTTAAAAACATGAAGTTGAATAATATGAATTAATTAAATGCACTTATTATAGGGTTAGGATCAGTTGGCCATGGAATTGTACTTAATCACTTTGCCATCGAAAACATTTGCTAAATATTAAAGAAAAAGATGTTTGTAATTTTAAATATTACTTTTCATTATTGCAAATGTGTGTTCGCATTTCCCATTTATCAAAATATACTGTTTGTATAATGGCAGGATAACATGTTGTAAATAAATTAAAAAAAATTCTATATAACAACAAACAATCCTAAAAGAAGAATTGATTTCACACTATATATACATATATATTAAGCAGCACAAAACCAGTATATTACAATGATTTCTGAAGGATTGTGATACTAAAAACTGGAGTAATGATGCTAAAAATTCAGATTTGTCATTAGAGGAAGAAAAAAAACAATTTTACATTGTAATAATATTTCATAATATTACGGTATTATTGTATTTTTGATCACATAAATACAGTCTTGGTGAGCATAAGACACTTCTTTTGAAAATATTTAATATATCTTACTGGCCTCAAAAATCTGAACAGTAGTGTGTATATATACTGAACTGACAAAAAAAACATACTGTATTTTGAATACAATGCATTATTTTATTCTACTGACTGCCCTAATATATTTAAGTTGTAATTTGTTTTTATAAAGGTTAACAAAGCAAAATCCAATCTTGCCCAATACATCATGAAACCTGCTTAATTAGGACTTAGGTGCCTTGTTCAAGAGTAATAGCTCATGAATCCTTAGGGATTGACTCAAACTCACATCATCAACATAAGAACCTCAGTTTGGGTCCACCTGCATTAACCTCTAGTCGACAGATTTAAACTGCACTCCAATTCTACCCAGTCCAAATTTACAGTGTTTTTTTAAGTGTTTGATTGTACAGACACATTTAATCCTGGATCCTGCTGGTCGCACAGATGCCTCCCGCCCCCCTACCCAAAAGCTCTATTCTCACCCCCCAGGACCACACCATCCTGTCTAACACCTGTGCTTCTCAATACAGAATGCTGGTTAAGCCAAACATATGAACAGCTAGGGCAATGGCACCTGCCAATTAAGCCCCAAATCTGCCATTCACACACACACAGCCAACAGCAACCAGGTATCCAAATCACACTAGACTTGGACACTGGACTTCTAGATCAAACACGTATAACAGTAAACCGTAAAAACAAATTTTGAATTCAACATTTATTTTTTAATAAGTTTTTAAAATTTATTGTGACTGCTTAGATACACAGTAGAGAGAACAATAGGACTCATCAAATGTGGTTCACAAAACTTTATTGTCTCGGGATGCTCACAGTGAATTTAATTCAGTTCAATAACCGAGGAAACTATAACTGGAAAGAACAAAAAAGGAAACAATTTAGGTCAATTTAGGTTTACAATAAGGTCCTATTAATGTTAGTTAATGGATTAACTAACAATTAGAAATATATTTGTAACAGCATTTATTAATCTTTGTTAACGTTAGTTAACTGTTCATGGTTTGTCCATGCCAGCTCAGGTCCATTAAATAATAATGTAATCTTATCTATATTGTATCTTTGACAAAGCCCTTCTTTTAATATCTCTCTTGCAAAATTATTAATTTTTTTTTCTTAATTTACGTGATCACCCTCCAAAATGTGTATGTTCTTGGTCATCTGAATGACAAATATAAGATTTAAACAAAAAAAATTACAATTTTGAAACAATCCCACTTAAAAGAGGGACTAAAAACACTGCTCATTTGTGAAACCTATAGTTCTCCTTAAACCTATTGTATAGTAATGCTTTTGTCTGTAACAGGGATGACAAAAATATTAAAAAAATGAGGTAAATAGTCATAAAATCAATGATATGACCTGAGATGGCACAATATAATTTGTGGTCATTTTAAGCTTCATTCATTCTTCATTTCATAGATATGTAAAAAAAAAAATAGATTCAACTTATTTTATATTTTAATTTTCAAAGTTGAAAAGGCAAAGATTTTGTGGAATGACCAAGATACAACTTTAATTTTAATAATGTATTAAACTTAATATTACGATTAATAAAAGCTTTACAAGTATTTGTCATTGTTAGTTCATGCTTACTTCTGTAGTTAATGTTCATAAATAGAATCCCAAGATCTATTCACAAAATTTGAATGTTTTTAAGCATTTCTTTTTGCTTTATACTCCAAAATACACAATGGACTTGTGTTTGGAAAGATAGGTGTAGAGCAAATTGGCTCAAAACCACTTGAACTTTGAGTTGTGCTTGACCAGCACTGCAGGGTAAAGCTGAAGCAGAGTTCAAAGCACTGGGCAACACTGACGCAAAACTTTAAGAAAAACAACCAAAGCTGTGCCCTCAAAGCAGGTACAATGGTGTCAACTCAAGTCGCACTGGGACTTCATATACCAATTACCCAGTAACTTATGTCCCTGCTAAATGTGTGTCGGTGCTTCACAAGTCACCAAGAAAACATGGAATACAACGTGGAATACTTTCACAGAGATGGAAACAAGCCATGATCTCTTCCTAATGAACAATTCTGCAGAAAAGCGGGCCACAGAGGCCAGCGGAGCTATTCTCTAAGAACAGAAACCGACCGCTCATTAGCTGGTTGGTACGGCCAACACAAGCCTGATCGGATAATGAGCCTGCACTTGCCTTCACACAACCAGACATCTATGTGCTCCCTTTTAGCAGCATCCACTCACACAGCCACACCTGCAATCAGCACGTGATAAAGGGAGGAAAAACAAGGGGGGGGGAGGGGAGGAGGAAATTGGGATCAAAGAACAAGAGAGAGGAAAGAAGCCCCCGACGCATACCGTCAGACAGCAGCTTGTGTCAGCAAATAACAGTAATTAAAAGCTGATGGGAAAAGATTTTTATAACACACACCTGGAAGGATCAAAGCTATTTTAAAGGTGAAATGAGAATGAGGGAAGCACAGTGAACATCAAGAGCTTGTGAGGAAGACGTAAACAAGGTGATAAAGCAAAGTGAGAGGGTGAAAGTTGCGGTAAATGAAGCACCTTGTTTAGTTGGATATGGCAGCTCAAAGATAGATCTGCCATTACATCTGATGGTTTTATCCTAGGTTAAGCATAGAACATTCACAGACTGAGGCAAACGCTTTACTGTGGATGGTACTGGTGGATTTCCGCAGGAGATTCGAGCATGTCTGTGCGTCATTACGTCACATCTGTACACATAAAGAAGGAGTCTCGGCTAGTAAATGCAACAGACTTCGTTTGGACTTCGGAGTGGCTACAGAAAAAAAAGAGACTGTAGCCGGACCAATGCGAAAACAAGGATACATATCGGAAGGACATTAAATGTAGTCACGTAATTCTTATGTTGAAAACATTAACAATTTGGGAACAAAGTATTATTTGCACGGTTTGCGTGATATGATAACTTATAAGCAATTGTTAGATTTAATCAGCACGATTTACTGCAATATCAGAACCAGAACAAAAGTGGATGTTTCTTACTAGTTCAGATGACATTTTCCGGTGAAAATTCTTATGTTGGTCATATTTCCAAAAAGAATAATCTGTGATTCTGAATGCCAGCATCCACTGACAGCCTCACAGTCTTCTAAAACATTGTGTTCATCCACGCTGTGGCGTGTCGAGGGTGTTGAAGTACAACTCACATAAAGTTGATAATTCCGCGAATGACCGTAATTGCAGATACTCTTAAATTAAAAAGTACACAAATAGCGACTTTATGAAATAATGAACCATTTATCTCATTATCACTGCTGTACTCTGCTATGATGTATGGCCAGCGTAGCTTATGGTAGAGAAAGTTCCACGTTTCCTCCTGTTAGGACCAAGTTAAGTGCAAGAACTACAGAGAAAGAACTCCGGTCCACAGAGCATACATTTCATACTTGAAATCAACCAAGGGTGAAGTTTTCCCTCTTAAACAGAGCACAGCGAATATCCTCAGTGAAGAAATCGCAAGAGACTCGGCCACAGATTTTTAACAAGCGGCAACCATTAATTATGCCGTTAAAGCGGCCTGCACATTTCAAGTTTCAGAGGTGGTTAGGAAAGACAAAAATGTCCCATAATTTTTTAATTTGTATTAAGACACACAGCTGAGCATATTAAAGAGCTTTATTTTTCTTTTGACCCATCCGTTTCTCTTTCATATGCTCATATTGCATGTCGAATTTGTGAGAGTGGCGTTTACATAAACAGATTAGTTTACTATGGGTACAGATGCAGATATGTGTGTTCACACACACGCAGCAGGAGAAAGACACATCATCTATCTAGCTAACAGGCCTAAGATTCCTTCACAGTGAGGAGTAACCCTCTGCATTACAAATGAGTTCTGAAGGACACTTATTATTCCTGCATTCAGGGAGACTTCTGATTATTCACATAGCCTGACATCGACAGACGATGCCAGCTAGCTTTAGCTTCCTCCCTTCGGTGTGAATGCTGCTAAGCTGAGGGCAGATTCTGAGCACAGTTTAATAAAGTAGTACCTGAACTGACCCTCAGCTGGGTCTGTGCCCACTGGAATGCATGACCAAACCATCGGTGTACAGAAATCACTTCTAGAGCACTGAAAGGTGGGTTATGTTTACATTTGGTTTTGTTTACTGCATTTTTCTATCTTTATCTCAGTGCGTCTCCATCCATAACTCTCCTACTCCCTCTTGCATTATGACACTTTGCCAAGGCTGTGAAACATCATTCTCACTAGCTTCCATTGGTTGCCAGTGACATCACTGAAAGCTCAGTAGTGAGAAATAATGGAGGACATTTTTTTCACTGACCATTATTGCCTCCTTGTGTTGATTCAGGGTAATGCGTAAAATTCAACTAACATTTCTGTAATACCTTGTTGACCTAATGGATATGCCTAAATGTGATTTAACACTGCACTGGGTACTGTACACTACTGTTCAAAAGTTTGGGGTCAGTAAGATTTTTTTTTTTTAAAGAAATAATTACTTTTATATAGCAAATATGCATTAAAGTGATCAAAAATGACAGCAAATTTGTTACAACAGATTTCCATTTAAATTAAATACTGTACTTTCAATTCATAAACAATCCTGAAAAATTATACATAAAGATTTACACAAAAGTATAAAGTTGCACAACTGACTTTAAAATAGATATAATAATTAGTAATGTTTTCAAAGCATTGAAGACTGGAGTAATGATGCTGAAAATTCAGCTTTACCATCACAGATATAAATTACATTTTAAAACACATTAAAATCCAAAGCAGTTAATTTGAATTGTAAAAAAATAAACGAATCCTTGACGAGAATAAGAGGCTTCTTTCAAAAACATAAATAAAAAAAATCTTACTGACAGGATAAATAGCTTTTATCCAGTTATTGTTATTTTCCATACCTTGCGGCTGGTGTAGTGGGCATGTTTCGCCAGTTTTCCATTGAGAGCCTGCAGGAACATCTCATCCGTCACCTTCCCCACGTTCATGCACGCCTCATCCAGGACAGCAAAAATGCCCTTATGCTGCTGTTCCACCAGATCCACAATGATCTGATTGTTAAAGTAGTCAATCTGTTTCCATGAACACACAAATCACGACAAAGTTTATTTAGATGCAGTAATGCAAAAATAGTGAAGATGTGAAAAGTTTGTGGAGAAACCCACATGTTTCCAGGGGATGCCCTCTCGCTGATATTCTTCCTGTTCTTGCTTCAACACCAGTTGAATGAAGAGCTGCTGTAGTTTTTCATTACAGTAGTTTATACAGAACTGCTCGAAGCTGGACAAAACAAGGTTGATACTCAGGATAGACACACTTATTATAGTAAACAGAGCAAAATTATACAGCCAATAAAGATCCTCATATTCTCTCACCTGTTATTCTGAAAGATCTCAAAGCCATAGATGTCCAGGACTCCAATGACTGTGTTCTTCCCATGAACCCTGGCGTCATAGTTTTTCACCTCAATGACGTCATTGATTCTTCCCACAATCCAACAGAAAAGACGCTCATAAATGGCCTGCGAGTAACAAATAATGAGTGAAAGTGAACTGCTGGAAGAAGAAACGAAGATGTGAATAGAATCAGTCAACTAAGTTTATCTGTCTTGGTAAAGTCATTTATTGAAATTTGGATGGCTACGACAATTTTTTTTCCCTCTATAGCTATACGTTGTTGTAAACCAAGATACTTTTTTCTTTTATATTTAGAATAATATTTAACATAGAATTTTTGTGTTTCTTCCAGAAAAACAAAAACTTTTCTGATCCCAAACTTTTGGTAGTGTGTATTTATCTATGATACTATGCATTTATGCAATTTTATTACACTGTGTACACTACATATAAAATATACAAGAGTACAACATATAATACAAATGTACATCAGAGAATCTGAGCGGTAGTACCCACTGTATCATTACAGTGGATCGAAACAATCATCTATCATATTTCGGGCTTATAGAAGTATTGATTTAGACATTGGCATGAAATTCAAATGCACATTTTTGGTCCAGCTGTTTTATTTACAGCTGGCTTACCACAATTTTGTCTGTCTGAGTCCCAACTCATACCTTGGCCAAGGCATCACGACCATAACTGGCCTCTTGATGAGTATGCTGCTTGTCAATGACATCACGACCGGTGGCCACAGTGCGATAGAGCATAGCCTTCTCTACATTCTCCTCTTTGGTAGACAGCAGATCCCCCAGCACTGACACTAGTTTAGAGTTCTCAATGAGAGTCACATCTCCATCACTTCCAAACTTCAGATTTCCCTGGAAATATTAAACAATTCACCAATCAATTAGTTTGGGCTATACTCGCTGCAGCTGGTAATAATTTTTTGAACAAGCTAAGGAAATACTAAACCAGATGCAAGATGGTAGCCAGGATCTTGTAGACTGTCTGAATCTCCTCAACAGTAAAGCCAATGACTTTCATGGCATCAGCTACAGCTTTAAAATCAGCACTGTCATTTATAGACGACTGCTAGATAGGAAAGAGAATCTGGGTTATGGCAGATGGTCAACAAACAAAAGCACATCCTGATAGATTAACTAAAGTTTAGTTAAAACATCTTCTTCCTGATCTTACTTTTAACAGTATATGCTATTAATTCAGCTTTAGGGATAACACCATGGTTGGATGTAGATTGGCTAAAAGCCTTTCATTTAGTGAAGGAAAATCAATGATATCGAAATGGGAGGTCATTAACCCTATTACGTTCACATTAAACTTATAGCAGAGCAATTAAAAGCTGAAAATCGCTGACACATCAACTGAATCCCCAGACTTCCTAAAACAAAAGCACAGCACTCAAATCGCTAATTATTCTGCCATGCTCATGGCTAACAGCTCCTACAGAGTAAAGATGATTTCATTCAGCAGGAACCTTTTACAGCCACAGTTGTGCTGGACAGAGTGTGAAGTTTAGCCAGCATGTGCTTGTAACTGGCATGAAATGTTCAAAGCACTTCAGGCTGTTTGTTTCAGACCTCAGTGAGCTCAACAATCCAGCTTGTTCCATGACAACACCTTGTTTGTTCCTCTAAATTTGTTTTCGTGCCCGCTCATTAAACTCCCCGCAGAAGCAATGGAACAGTGCTGGGTGATCTCACCTCCTGAGTCCTGACTCAACAGGCTATTACATATGAGGCAATTACAATAGGTTTTAATATGCACCAATGGCTACTGTATCCCAGAACAACAATAATCAAATTCCCTGCACAATTATTTGTGATTGCCCCTGCAAAGATTTCATTTTCCAGAGATCCCAAAGCTCTTGAGACTCTATAAACTATCTATTAACTATCTATAAATAAATAAATAAAATAAAAAACATGTTTACACACACATTACCACCCATAATAGTATCTTTTAAATCTGCACATGGTGCAATACCTTTATCTGGCCTCCAACTTTAATGTAGGTGTATGCGGTGGGATCTTTCTGAATGTGCAGAGACCGCAGCTGAGGATCTGGAGCTCCTTTCACCAGCTGAAAGACACATTTAAAAGCACTTTTGACTTTCCCCACATGATCATTTTCTCTTGTGTTGATATGGAGGAGCATGTAAATTATAGTCTTTATAATAATGGGTTGTAGAGCACTAACAGACAGATGGAATTTTGTCTGATGTTTTGAGCATGTTTTGAAGCAATAGGACATTACTTATGTAGGGGCAATAAAAGTGAGAAATAATTGGGCTTTGAAGGCTCTGACAGTGGAGTCATAAACAGATTTGGTAGGATTTGTCTGGTGTCTGGCAAAATAAAAATAGCATATCGACTTCTGCGACGAGTTCTTCACTCACCTGGTAGAAAGAGTGGAAACTCCTCTCTCCTTCCTGCTGAAAAATCACTCGAGACTATATGAAAAAAAAAGTGTTCAGGATAAAAATCATATGCATTTATAATAAAGGTAAAAATATCACAGCCTCTCCAGCACACATATCACGATTAAGCAAGACAAAACTGAGTGATCTGTGCCTGAGCAAAACAGTCTGCAATAATACTAGGGTGTTGTGGGTGGTTGTCAGCGTGTTGCAATGCAGTTTCTAGAGTGTTTTTAACACATTACTTAGTGATTGCTTCATTATTTATAAGTTGATGCTAGGGTATTATAGGTGGTTGCTAGGTGGCTTCTGTTTTGAAAGAATGATATATATGTTTAAAAAAAAATGACCCTATTAGAGAGACACTTCTAAGCTCCTCCTCTTTTGCACACCTACCTTCTCAAGCAGGTAGTTGTTGATATGGCCGCCAATGGGGTCTCCCTTAAAATCAAAGTTGATATCCATGTACTTGCCAAAACGGCTGGAGTTATCATTGCGGTTGGTCTTGGCATTCCCAAAAGCCTCCAGGACACAGTTGGACTTCAGCAGCATGTTTTTCACCCTGTATAAACACACACACACTGTTTATTTCCACATTTACAAGCCACTTGTGCATACGTTCACCACTATAGCTAAACGGGCATCAGTTTCAATATGAGGCTGATGGATCTGATTGCTCCTGACATTTGGTATTAGAGTAAATACACTAATCTGTCTGTATGAAGCCTTTACGAGCCTGTATGCATGGCTATATCTGGCTATGTTAGTGTATATAGTATCACCATGTGGTATTCCAGCATGGTGGTTAAGTGGATGATTTATGGGGCCTGCTGCATGGGTCAGACCACAGAATCCTCAGCATTGGTTCTCCTGCCGTACAGACATGCATGACCTACACTGCACATTCGAGGAATTAGAGCCCTGCTTGGGCTGAAGAGGTCCTAACCCAACTGTTACAAGCCTGTCAGGCATTAAGCGGGACACTTTTCACCATGTTGTGACCCAAAACATCCTGTAAAATATACACTTTGCTTTTGTATCGGGCCTAGCAGGTATTCCAAAAGCCCCATTAAAAGTTAATTATTTTTTAATTATCTTGTTTTATTTGCCCTAATCATTTATTTATTCATCATTTCTGTTTTATAGGTTTAGCAAAGCAAAATCGAAATCTTATTACCATCAAGTATACAGTGTGTTACCCTGGTTGGAAATTACTATAGACTACAAAAAGCCCTGTTTTGGCATAGCTTTAGATGTACTTCCTGGAAAATGTGTCACACTGATGAACACCCAGTTTGGAAAGAGCTTTAACCTTTAGCAAGCAGAGAAAATAAACCATATCTACAGGGTGCAATAACAGTGATATGAAATGTAGCACAAAGCACTATACATTTAAAAGTAGATAAAAGTTGCAAAGCATGATTTTATTGTTATTACTATTACTGCGGTTATAGTTAAGATACAAGAATGAAGATCTATGCAGAATGTTGCATATTTACAATTAAATAAACATTAAAAGCCCGACATATTCCTATACCGATTGATTTATTTCTCAAGCTACATAGATTAAAAAAATAAGGAATAGAGATTATTATCATTTATTCATTGAGCTTGACTTAAATCCATCGTATTTCAATTAGCATGATCCAGCACTATTTTAATCTCTGCCCTACATTTCACTATCACTATTGCTCCTTGTGAAGCTAATTCCAATGCATTATTCACTGACTCACTACCATTAGATTTGTAAAGATTTGTATTATTTTGAATGACATCCACATAAAAACATAAAATACTTGTGAATGCTCAGTGATTGTTGATTATAACATTAAAGGAGGCATCTTATGCAGCATGCTGTTAATATGACTCATCAATGCAGCAGCGAGGAGAGAAGAAGAGAAAGGCTTTTGTTGTACGTACCTCTCCACCTCTGCTCTTTGGCTGGGATTAGTGATAGCAGCGATATATTGCATAATGTATTTACTAGCCTCTGTTTTTCCAGCTCCGCTCTCCCCTGCAGAGTAAAGAAACAATTACTAATGCTTATATACAGATATAATTGGATAAAATTAAGTAAATACCATTACAATCTACAAGGAAATTTGAGACCAATGGTGACTGGAGAAATTTGTAAGAACATACATACTGTAAATAGCATACCAATTTGAATGAAAAAAGAAATTAAATTTTTTTTTGAGTCAGTCATTTTTATTTTATTTTAAGAAATTAATACTCTAAGGGTTTATCAAATTGATCAAAAGTGACAGAAAAGACTATGTATTGTTACAAAAGGTTTCTGTTTTAAATAAATAGTGTTCCTTAGTGTAACTCTTCCCCAGAGATTACTGACAAAATATGTATCCCGGTTAACACAAAAATACTGAGAAGCAAAACTTTTTATAAAACATTGACAATAATAAGAAATGTTTCTAGAACACTAAATCAGCATTTTATTATTATTATTATTATTAATTAAAATAGAAACATAGTTAAAATAGTTATTACTACTTTATTACTGTTTTTAATTGTCATAAGTATACACATTTTTACACTAGGACAGAGAGGGGGAAAATTAAGGGTACAAACAAATAAGACCTAAATATAACTCTTCTGAGTTGTTTGTCAAGGCTCTTAATCTATTTATTGTGTAAGACCTTATTATGCTAAACCACAAAAGCATGCTTATGGAATTTATTTGTTGAATTAAAACAAAATTATGCTGTAAATATACAGCAAGTTCCTCTATTTTCCACTAGATGGCACCACACATATTTTTGCAGTGTAGTCACCACCTGCGGTCACTCTCTGGATAACAATCAATGTTTTCTTGTAGAGGCTATATCTGAGTGGTCACCAGATTATTCCGCTTGAGCTATGTGCCCCACCTCAGCATAGTTCCACAGTATCCCAGACAGAAAACAAACACTATCTCAAAGAGACATCATTGTAGAAATTGTGAAACCACCATATTGTCATTAATCTTTTTCACACAATGAACATGTCTTGAGAAAGCAATTTGCTCAGGCACTGAACTCTATTGTGAGCTTCTTCTCAAGCAGTCCACTGTGACTGGAAAACCACACACCACGTCAGTGCAAAGCAATTCTCATCTGACCACAGATCTAATCACATCATTCCCAGTCACAGTGAGACCCCACAAGAAGACCCCGGAAAGCCTGTATTCCAGTAAGGCCTGTTATTTAATCAAACAGAAGGAAGACAAGGCTATTTTTATTATAATTTGAAGATGAAGTAATGGCTTCTTCCTCAGAATCACCCATGACCTTGATGGTGAGTCACACTCAAAAAAAAACACATTTAGACATAGTCTACCTGATATAACAATGCAAGTGTCTTTGTTCCTCCTCTTCATGGCTTTGTACGCAGCATCAGCGATGGCGAAAAGATGTGGCGGTCGCTCATACAACTCTCTGCCTTTGTATTGCTCGATGGTGTCCCGCCCGTAAATGTTCATGGCACGGTAAGGGTTAACCGACACCACCACCTCTCCAATGTAGCTGTAGATACGACCCTTTTCAAACCTGCAGCAGAAAGACAAGCACATAATTGATTATCTGTATTCACATTCATGAATATTATGGAATATTTGCTTATAAAGATCTGTTTGGCTTGTGGTGTTGCGGCCTGTATAATAAGATTTCAGTGCCTCGAGTAAAGAAAGGGCAGCTTAATAAATTATCTCAGTCAAGAATCAAAAGCAAATAAAAGCACAGGATAGTCAAGGTCATGTTTCATGGGCTGCATAATCTGTTTGCACAATAATAAATCCTGCTGAAAAGACCAGCATGAATTTCCAGGCTGGTTAGTGCTGGACCAGCACCAGCCGTATTGACTCCTTTAGACAATCCAACGACTATTATATCTCCACATCCACCTAACTACTTGGTCGCATGAAGCCAACAGCTGACGTTCACCCTGCCTTGAAAAAGCAGGCTGCTTTGAGCTCCATCCTCAGGGGAACCTGACTTCCTTGTTCTTCCGAGCAGACCTGGGTCATGCCTGCAGAATAAGGCATCCTTTCTTCTCAACCTGTGGGTTTGCCAAGCCTCCCTCAGCTCCATCCTGCCCCAGGCAGTGTGCTTAGAAGTTTGAGGCATGACCTCATAATCTCATACTGAACTAAAGAAGCCATATTTTGCCATTTTACAAAGTCTTGATTTTGTTTTTGGGTTCTACTAGAATCAAAAACACATTATTTTTTGACATATTTGACATTGTTGCAGCACCTCTCTTCCCACTCCTTCAGTAACACTCTGTTTAGTTCATGTCTCTATGAAGCCCCTACTTTTGAAAAGCGTAATTTGCTCTGATTGGTTGGCTGGACCTGTGTGTTGTGATTCATCAAACGCTTTGAGATTGTTTCGGAAAAAACCACAGTCTTATCATAATCGCGAGTTTCAACACACTAGCACAACTAAACCAGGCCTCGCCCCCTTTTTTGTGTATGCCTTGGACGGGAATTATTAAAATGAGGAATAATGTGAAGTGTTCCCAGAGAAAACCTAAGCCTACAATCAAGACATTTTTAAGGAAGTTCAGAAACAGTGCTTACTGCTTACTGATATAGAGAATAACTCCATTTGGAGTGACTTTCTGCTTTGTAAACTTACATTTAGATTTACATTTATTAATTTAGCTGACGCTTTTATCTAAAGCGACTTACAATTGCTATATATGTCAGAGGTCGCACGCCTCTGGAGCAACAAGGGGTTAAGTGTCTTGCTCAGGGACACATTGGTGTCTCACAGTGGATTCGAACCCAGGTCTCTCACACTAAAGGCATGTGTCTTATCCACTGCGCCATCACCATCCCAACAAACCAAACTTGCAGACCTTTTCCATACATTACACTAAAGATCTTGAAAATGTAAAAAAGCATAATACATCCTCTTTTGGATTGCGACTTAAATTCAATTTAAACAGGTATAACTTGAACACTTAGACTCATAAATACAAAGAACTGCTTCAGTCCTCGAGGACCTTACACCCTGTAGAGCAGAAATGTACCATACAACAACATTCACACAAACAAGTCACAAGAAACAGGTCTCAATTCCCTCAGGTCTTCTTACAAATGCATCAAGGATTTATAGAATGAGCAGCGATCCATTAAACAAGAATAAATCACCATGGACACATCCTGAAGCATATTAAAAATGGATTCAGTGAGATCAGAGTGTGCACATGGTGTGAGTATTTTAAACTCACCCCAAAAAACTCAAATTTCGTCAACATTGTCACCCTTTCGTTGATACAATCATAATGACTTCTATTTCAAATAAATGATGTGCTTTTGAACTTTCTATTAATAAGAGAATCATGATCAAATATGCATCATGGTTTCCACACTAAAAAACAAAGCAGCTTGACTGTTTTCAACATTGATAATAATAAGAAATGGTCCAGGCATGGCAGTGATGCTTATGCCTTTGGTGGCAGCAGCCTGTCAGGCCAGCCCTCGAGCAGCATGCATGAAAAGGCTCTTTTGTGCCAGCCTGCGGGGTAAGATACTGCGGTGTACCAGCTCCATTGTTCTTCTGTCAATGTGAGGTCTGTGTGTAAGGAGCACAGGCCAGGACCGCACACCCCTACACAACAGGCTGACTCTACTCACCCACATCAGCCCCTAAGGGACAACAAAGTCAACTAATGACAATGCCAGAAGGATCATTTTGAACTATATTTGAGCTATCCATTTTTCTAATGTGGAGAGATAGTGTTCAATTCAGAACCTAAAAATTCATTAAAGAGGCAATATCATACATTTTTTAACTTTTACAACTAATGCCTCTATTAACATTATTTTTTTTGGTGGCAAAATAGTCATAATATAGTTTTTCATCCTGACATTTAATCCTGTTTTTTTTATAAAGAAAAAATAAATGAATTAAAAGATGTTTCCTTGAAATTCAAAGGTGTGGCAAAAAAAAAAAAAATCTAATTTAAAAAAGTATATTATAAAATATTATTTTAACCATTGACTAGAAAAATAAACTCTATGGAAATCAATGGCTACCGTGAACTGTCTGATAATAAACAAAAAATCCCTCAAAAAAAAATCTCCTGTTGTCAACAGAAGAAAGACACTTATACAGGTTTGGAACAACTTGAGGGTGAGTAAATGACAGAATTTTTAGTTTTGTGTAGAGGTCGACCGATATGTTTTTTTTTTCACGCCGATGCTGATACCGATCTTTTGAAATCCGGGTCAGCCGATGGCCGATTAATGCTGCCGATTTATTTTGGCCGATATTTGGCTGATATTTGCTTGGTTTTTAACCTCTATTTGAAAGATAAAATGTGAAAGAAATGATAATTACTTAGCATAGACAAACTTTCTCAACAAAAACATTTTATCCTCTCAAAAAATGTCCTGAAACATGTATTTTTGGTTTGTTTTGTTTGTTGACAGACAAAGACAAATGGACAAAACCTAATTATCACAAAAAAAGGAGAAAAAAACTTTAAATGATTTAATTTTTATATATAAGATTTATTATATTTTATTTAATTCTAACAATAACGTATTTCTGCTGTTCACTCGCCTGGAAAATGACTCTAGCAGCAGCGTGCGTCAAACACGTGTTCCACGACAACACTAGGCTGCCCACAGATGTGCCTACCTAATAATCGGCTTGATATACTTGGATATTGGCCGATGCCGATTATGTTAAAAATCGGTCTACCTCTAGTTTTGTGTGAACTGACCCTTTAAGCCATCTGTCAAAGTCATAGTCATGACATATTGTACCGATTGCTGTCATTAGTCACAGCACACCCCACAAGCCAATGAATCCCCCCCCCCCTGTCCTCTCATCACAACTCGTGTCCAACTCGGTCAGTCGCAAAGTCCCACTACGATTCAGTACTGTCAGTAAATCTAGCTAATTCACATCGCGTTTCATTTTCATCTAGAGACATGACTCAACCCTTTAGGTTTACCCTGTTCCCAGAGGACAACTGCCTGAAAAAATCCATTGTTGATTGAAACAGAATCCAAGCATGCTGTATTGGTTGTGTGGGAAAGCACAGAATCGTTATCTCCCATCTGTGATCAGATTATCATCCTCATCTCATAAGCAGGCCTGTGCAGAATCTACTCTTTCTGAAATCAAGCTTCATAGATTTACCCTACTCATTTTACCATTGAATATGCAAAAAAGTAATTTATGGTTTCATTTTGAGTCAGAATTTTCCGTGTGTTTTTGATCAGGCAGGTCAACAAACACATGGAGATATGAAGTGTTTGAACAAAGGAGGGCTTTTAAGGTGGGGTCCGGGTTTTAGAAGTTTAGAGAGATCTGGGAAGGGAATCAGTGGATGAGGCTCTGTCATCCTTTCTCCTACATTTCCCAGAAGGCCTAGGGAGGGGTTGCTGCCGCCTGGAGATAAAGGATGTGTGTCAGACAGCACCATGCCACTTCCTCTAACATCTGGATCTACTCTACAGGTTGAAGCATCAGCATTTTTGTCCAGTACCATTTGTTTTGAAAGTCAAAGATTTAGAAAAACATAAGGGTTAGAGTAAATAAGAATACTTTTGGTGTGAACTATCCCTTTAACTGCTCTATACAGTACCTTTTCAACTACTTAAAAAAATAAAATAACTTTTTCAGTAAGATAAAAAGTTTTAAAATCAGAGCAACATCCTTTAAAACACTTTCGTCATCCGAACTCCCAAACTATAAAAGCTTTTTAGAAAGGGATCACTTGCCAGGCTGAGGATAACTACTGGTTTCAGGCCTGTTTGGGTGGGTCTCTTGTGGTTATTTGCTTGTGGTTGACCAGGGTGGGGTGCGGCCTGTAAATTCCCTCACACCAGTTGCAAGTAAAAGTAAAAAGTGAGAGGAATGAAAATTAACTGAACTGGACAGTACAGCATAAATAAACGAGGAGTGGGACAATTTAGAGTCAAAGAAAGAGATGGAAATATGATGTGCAAACTAAGAAGGAACACAGGAATATGAACATATAAATGCCTTCACACTTAAGTGTTGACTTATGAGATGGTCCAATACCAAGAAAGTGCATCAAAGCCTGTGTATTCACAACCCCAGCAATGAAAGGATAATCTGTTCCTGATCCATGTTTATCCCCTGCACACAATTTACCACAAAGCAATCAGTGTTACTCGGTCCACAGCTTAACGCAGAACAAGCATGGTATGATCTGATAGCGAATCGTCCTCTGGACTGTCTATCATGCAACCCCAGAAAGGTTTTGTCTCAGATATTTCAAAAATTCCTTAGGATAAGAGACAGTTGTCAAGAGATATAGAACGAAAGCACAATAATTTGAGGAGAATGTGATGAGAAATGTTGGAGATCATATTGAAATCTCACATATGCGATTGGAGACTTTAGCATCTAGGCAAATGGCTCTGAGCACAGTTTGAGACATTTTTCACATCTTAAATCTCTAAAGATAACAAGTGAGATTAATGGGGTCGGTCGTTTTCTCAGCACTTACGAAAAAGTCACCATTTGACCATTGAACCTCACTGATGTCTGGAATAATAGAA